GGCTCGTCGTGGGGGACAACTCAGGCGGCTAGTGAATAATGTTGGCCAATCTTTGGCATTGGTCAAAGACTTTGATGAATTGTTCCGCATCCTCGTTCAAGGTTCCCAGTAGTAGCCTCAACGTACAACCTTTGCTGCTAATGATCTGCAGCCTCGTGGATTTATCTCCGAACATAGTTTGCTTCAGCTAGATCCAAATATTCGAGTGAGGAAGTGAGCAAACTCGCTTGTAGAGCTTTCAATCTTTGAGGACGTACTACTTACTTTTTTAGCGAGCTTCTTCGCCTCAGATCGGTCTGCTAGAAGTTTTCCTTGGATGAACTTGTTAGTAGGATCCATCAGAGTTGATTCGGACGGTTAACCTCCATCACGTGTGACTCCACTATTGATGGTGTGTCCAATATCTCAATTGGGACTGACCTTGCGAGGTCGGTCTCGCACGTGGATGCTAGTTTTGCTAAGGCATCTGTGGAGTTCTCAAATCTATGCATCTACTCGATTTGGTGTTCTTGGAACTTAGCAAGGAGAGCCTTGGTCTTGCTCATATATTTTCCATTCGAGCATCTTTGGCCTGATACTCCTTAGTTGTTTGATTCATAATAAGTTGTGAATCACTTAAGATTTTGATGGATGATGCTTCAAGTCTCTTGGCCATACAGAGACTTGCTATAAGTTCCTCATATTAAGCTTCACTGTTAAAAGTTTAAAAGTTGAACGTCAAGGCCACTCGAACCTGATTCCTTCTGACGCGAGAAAGAGCACTCTACAATAAAGGTCGTAATCATCTACTAGCAATGAGAACGACAAGGGTGACCTTCTCAATATAGTATAACCTAGTCTTTCTATCAATCATCACCTTTCTTGTATGAGAAACAGGGTTTTGACTTCCAAAAGATGGTCGGACCAGGGTTGAGCTTACGACACTTTTCAAGATTACTAAGAACAGAACAAGCTTTTCTCATTGCCACGATTTTGCCTATAAAATAACCGAGCATAAATAAACTTTAAGTTGGTCAAACACTCCTTGGTTGTCTGCAGTCCATTAAAACAAACCCTTTTGCCTTAAGATTTTGAAAAATGACAAGCAGTTGTCCGTGGATCGAGGCATAAAGCGATTGCGTGCAGCTATTTTTCCGTAAAGAAACTGACTTGCTTCAGGATTCTTAGTGCTTCCATGTTCATTACGACCTTAATCTTTTTTTCGGATCTACTTCTATTCCTTGGTGGTTGACCATAAAGCCAAATAATTTCCCATGACACACTTCAGACCTGCATTTGACTAGATTGAGCTTCATTAAAAACTGTTGAGAAAAGAGAATGTCTTTTCCAAGTCGTGCACCACTTTTCGTTAGATTTTTTTTAACTAAGATGACATTAGAGAGCCACTTAAGGTAGCTGACTTTTTGTATGAATTTATCTTTTAACAATTTGTTAACTTTCTCAACTGTTACATCACTTCTCTCTATTTACAGGTCTTCTCTTCTTTTATCAAGTCAGAAAGAGGGATCTATATTGAGGCGATGCACCATGATGGTTGGATAAATGCCTGAGATATCTTCGTGCGACCAGGCGAATACATCTGCATTAGCTCTTAGGAAGGCGATGAGCTCTTCCTTCTCAGTGGCCCCCAACTTGGTGCCAATGCTGATATTCCTCACAGGGGTGAGCAATGAGACAAGCTCAAGCTCTTTCATTTGAGTTCCATGCTCTGTTGCAGATGTTTTGTCTAGGCGTTCGGTTCCAAAATGGCATAAACAACTGATCCTTTCAAGGCAACTACATAACACTCCTTTGAACTCTTTTGCTATCCTTGAACGACTCCAGCTACATTGGTTGTACGATACTTCAGAGCCTAGTGGAGTGTTGAGGGAATAGGTTGCAAGGCATGGATGATCGATTGCCCAAAGATGGTGTCGTAAATATATTTTCCATATATAGCCACGAACAGAGCAACCTTTGTGATCTAGAAGTTGATGTGATCATATTTGACCAAATGCTCCAAAATGCCACCTACACCAACAATGAAGAGAACCTTGAAGAAAGACCCACCAAACGAAAGAGACTTCATTGGACCCATCAACAAACTTTTACCATTTTGAAGGCCAATGAACAATCTACTACGGTCAAGAGGAAGAATGAAATGGAAAAGAAGCTAAGCGAGTGGCCCTGCTTCAAGGACAAGCGCATCGAGAAGCTACCCGCTCGCACGAACACCGAGGCGCATGCCACCGCAAGCGTATGCTGCCCTGCCTCGCGAACCTCACAACACGCCCTCCACAATGCTAACCTCACAGTGCAT